AAAAAAAATTTTATTCGACCTTTGTATTTTTCGATTACTGTTTACATATAATACATGTATGATACATCGAACATTTCAAACCCGTATTTAATTCCATTTGTTTATTTATTGTTATTTACTAAAAAAAAAAAAAAAATGGAATCTTGTTGACTAGTGTAACGAATATTCGTGAATATTTAACATGAGAAAAAGATATGGCGATGTGCCTCCTATAATTTTGTATAAGATATTATTCCGACTAGGTTGATCGTGAATAAATAATTCGTCGAAATGTCACTTGACAAATTTAAAATCGGTTATCTATTTTCGAACAAATCGTGTCGTACGTCACTGCGACGGCGAACCAACTTCAAATTTAATCCTCAAAGATACTCGTATAATAATCAGTTCGGAAAACGGCGGAGAAAGAGAACGTTTTTGCAGGAATAGAATTTCAAAGTTTCTCAGTATTTTCTTGGACAACATACGGCTCCTTTGTCTGGTTTTTACAAAATGAGATTAACAATGATTACAATGTTTTAAGAAAAATGAACACGTGAACAAAAAATGAGAATCCGTGGAAAGGAACACGCACGGCAGGAAATAACTTCGTTATCTTTTACAAGTGTATCTTTCCCGGAAATGGGGAATAGCTCTCAAGCTTTCTTTTTTTCCACGGTTTTTCCCTGCTCTCTCTAAGGTGTATGCCAACCATGTTCAATTTCTCGTCAACTTTTCTCCATTCTCCAGACATCTCGCGGTAGTGTGTTGCTCTTCTACAAGTTCATTAACAAAGATCAAACAGTATCTATAATAACACGGCGACGTACTGATATCATGAAACATCGATCTTCGATTTTGCGAAATAGTGCCTTGAGAGAGATACGTGCGTCGTTCGTTTACAGCTTCGTTATAATGTATTTACATTTCACAATTTCATTAAATACATATAGGGCAATTAAATGCGCCGTGAATTAATGGAGGTCGTATAAAAGCGAACTGCACGGGCAACAAGTTAATGTTCGGGAAGGAGTATCAAGTGGATCGAACTGTTTCTCCAATACATCTCCGCGATCGGTAGTCAGTTCTTATATTCAAGACTATCTTAAGTACAGTCTTGAGATGTAAACCAATCACAGAGCTGTATTAGCGGCCTAAAAGAAATTACTTAAGACAGTTTTATAATAAGAACGGACTATGAATACCGGTCTGGTTTGATTGAAAAAAATATCACAAAGAATGCGTTCCGTTTTCAACACGTAAGCATCATTCTTGTTTATCAAATATTAAATAAATGGATGTTTACAAGCTTTGTAAGCCCAAAAACGGAATGCATTCAAAGTTGCAACACACGGGCAATGCCTAAATTCTAAGCAGAATCATAAGGCTCGTAACATATTCTTGTAAGATTTGTAAGAATTTTTAAATGCTTATACCTTTATACAATATTTTCACAGATAGCTTCTTACTAACCATAACGTTTATAAGGAATCGTAGATATTTACGAAGAACGTCTTACGACACATACGCGTAAAATTAAGATATTAATCATAAGTTCTTACAAGTTTTACGAGAACAAGTGTTACGAGCCTTACGTCAATTCTGCTTAGAATTAACCCATAAAGCTCTAGATATACCAAACTAGCGCCGAAGATCTTCCATTTTCGATTTACTAACCATAAATTTGTTCGCGTTGCTTGAAATCCCCAAAAATATTTGCACTTAAAATGAAATAGATATATATTTGGCCTTGAAAAGAGAGAAAGCGAAGATGCGAAACGCAAGCAACACAAACAGGGCTTTCCATATTCCAATAGTACTAAGTTCTTATTGAACTACGGACAACTAAACCGAAAATGGCGGTCGAAATAGCCAGTAGGAAAGTTGTCTGCCTTTCGGCTCAGATAAAAGGATTGCGCTATTTTGATATCTCTAAAGCTTAGCGCGCACACACACACACACACACACACGCGTTCACACACATTTAAATACAGACTAGAGGAAAGTTCGCCAAAATTCTGCTGACCTAGTTATTTCGCGTGGAACAACGCGGATAAATCTTTGCGTTCCCCGTTTGAGATTTAAGATTCATCAATAGAGAAATCGCGAGGAGTCAACCCTCCCAAACACGTACACGTACTCAAGAAAAGAGAAATCCCAGCCTCGTATTCATTCCTCTCGAGGGATAAGGGATAACCGCCCTATGGTTTATTTTGTTAAGGATACCTGAACTCCCCGTGCAACATGAGAAACTCGCAGAAACCGAGACGTAATTCTGACGAACTTATATAGACAATATGTAGACGATCTCTGTGCTCTCTTCATTTTGTATTTATGATTCGAGGAAGTTTATCAGAAATTCATTGATCCGTAAATTCTGAATTCCTGACCATTAACGAGTTTGGAGGTGTCAGACGGTTGCCTTTTAACCTTTCATGGCATTAAAGCATTTTTTTCGACTAGAGATCTCGAAGTAAGAGTCTGGGCACTCGAGATAAATAGGGCGGCAATATTTGACTCTTTATTGTAGAGTATATAAATTTTCCGAAGTTTTACATGATCCTATACTCTCTGGAATGGCGTCATATTTGAGAGAGGGTCTCTATTTTCGACTAACGTAATAGATACAGACTACGCATTGTCTGATCTTAGCATCTGTACTCCATTAGAAAGAACTGAATCATATCAGCATGTCTCTTTCTTGAGATACTATGCTGATACGATTCAATTCAACTCTGTCACCATCTCTCTTCAACTCAATACTTGAGAGAAAGAAGGGGCGATATGATTCAAGTTATTATTTTTAAACTGATAGTGACAACTTCAGGAATGCGCAGTTTACTCTTATTGTATCTATGCTTTCTACTGTGCTTTCACTTATTGATCAACTCGTTTACCGTAAGATACGCACCAAGTTCTTTTTGGTACGTTTATATACGTAACAGAAACTGGTCGAATGAACTTTGATCAACCTACGTCTTTGACTTTAATTAAGTATATTACTATCTAGGAGATGTCGGTCCGTGACAATTAAAACCGCTAAACGCGGGAATTAGAAAGCAAGGCTTCTCGCGAAGTTTCTCATTCTCGTGAAGTATTTCTGCCGGCAGAAAACGCAACTCGAAGATGATTGTTGCAATCGTGTCATTTTTCGAATACACTCTGCATTTTTTATTACTATTCGCACATAAATAATACTCGTCATTTATCATTTATTATTTTCGAATCATTCGGAGTAAAATTTCGAAGTTCTTTCTCTTCTAATTGTGGAGATCGCACCGTTATATTTCAAAACCTTCTAAGAGAAATACTTAAAAATTTGGAATCAACTTAAGAAATGAAAAGATTGTAAGATATTCCAAGAATATAGATTCGAGAAGAGACGAATCGCGTTCTTTGACTCCGCAGATGTCTTGGACTGAGCTTTCTCACTGATATATTCACTGCTCACTTTTACCAATTTCATGATCCTCTTACGAATTTATCGGAATGGAACGAAATCGACCTTTATTTACAATCTCTGCAACCTGCGAGATTTCCGAGAGGGTAACCGCTGCCTGAAATATTCTTCC